AGGGACTAGTCGTCTGTACCGACCTTAAAACCTTGGAGAACAAAATAATTTCTATTTTCTACCTTCTACCATCTGCTACCGTTGTTGGCATTATAAATCCTCCTCGCGAACATTCAATGCCGTCTTCAGTGAGAAAAGTTGCCCGACTGATTTACATGTAAACATTAATTGACTTAAGTCTTCGTCATAACAGTAGAGTTTTTCCCGCCTGCTGAATCCTGGTTGGTCAATTCAAATTTCAGGTGCGCCAGCCGTTTGCAAAGAGCTGTCAGACTTGAAATTTAACGAACTCCAAATGTGATGACTTAACTCTGTCTGGGAAGAGTGTGGTACGACCTTCTATGACATGCGGATGTCATTTGTAAAGAAAGTTGATGTTTTCAGGGAATTGTATCGTGAATGTTTTTTTTTTTATCCGAATACTGTTGAATCCGCAATGTTTAGTAATTTTCAATTTTGGTGTAGTCAACTAGGAAATACTGTTCGCAGTCCGTCATTGGAAATTTTCGGAGATTAAACTGAAATTTTTGGTTGAGTAGAAATCGCCCTTGTTTTTTTCTCGTTCGCGTGTACGTGATAACTTCATAGTCAAGTGTTGTGTTGGTTTACGTTTCAATCTGCACTTGGTTTTACGACACTCAAATGAAAAACGCTCGGCTAAGCCGCTCTGACATGGAGGGGTAAATTACAGACCGGTCTTTAAATCAAGCTTGTTGTTCCGAAGGTCCCCCGGAGGCCACCGAAGATTCCGAAGGTGAGCCGAACCCTTCTAAAGAGTTTCGTTCGCTTTTAAAAGGCAGACAAATATTTCTGATAGTCTTTTAGAAATTTGAAGAAGTCATAGATTGATATCACGTTTGTGTTTTCATATTTCACACGACATAGTGCCGGAACTTGTAAACTCATTTGTGCTCCGCATGTGTTATTATTACCGTCGTAGCAGTTGTTTTTCTAAACATCTTCTTGTCTGTTTTATCTTTCATCTTTTGTTGAGACTGATTATCATTTTGTCAATAGCAAAGTTAGGTACGATTACTTCATTGTTCGATTTCTGAAGCTCGAGTAAGTCCACTCAGTTCACTTCCCTCGCTTTTCAGGAGCACATTAAAGGTGCCAACCTCAACTACCTTCCCCTCCCTGAAAACAAAGATCTTGTCACAGTCTCTGATGGTGTTCAAACGATGAGCTATAGTGATAACTGTTGAGTTCCTCAGTTTCTCTCGCACCGTGTTCCAGATTGTTTGTTCCGTGTCTGGATCCACGTGCGCAGTAGGCTCATCCAAGATAATGATCTTGTTTTGCTGTAAGAGCACGCGAGCCAAACAGATTAATTGCCGTTCTCCTACGCTGACATTTGTACCGCGTTCCAACAACTCGTAGTCCAGTTGTCCTTCAAGATTTTCCACCATCTGCTTCAGTCGCACTTCGTCTAATGCCCGCCACAAATCTGCATCCTGAAACTGTTCCATAAGGTCAAGATTTCTCCTCAGTGATCCACTAAAAAGAACAGGACTTTGGCCAAGAACAGATACACATCGTCTCGCCTCTTGGAGGTTGATCTCCTTTAATCGAACACCGTCAATGATTACATCACCAACAGCGTCAGGCATGCATAACAGAGCTGCTACAAAAGATGATTTCCCAGCACCCGTGCGCCCTGCAACACCAATCTTTTCTCCTCCTTTGATTTCGAGATTTATATTCTTCAGTACTTGAGGTCCCCCCGGATAGTATGTCAGTGATACGTCTTGGAATGCGATTCTTCCTTTGCTTGGCCAGTGTTTTGGGGGAAGTCGTTTAAGCTTATATCCGGGCTCGGAATCAAGCTTGGTGTACGTTATAACCCGTTCAACGGATGTCATTAAATTCTCTACATTCGAAGACATTCTGACGGTGTACTGGATGTAATCCACTGTCTCAATGACGTAAACCAAAGCAAGGCCGGCAAAAGCTGGGTGAAAAATTAAAAAGAAACTAATAATTAATCAGAGGGAACCATTATAATCTAGGGAAAATAAAGAGACAAACCTTTACCTGAAGAAAAGAAGAAACAAAGAAAGTTTTCTATTTAATGCCCGAGTCAACTATCACGCGATAGAAATCTCGAGTTCATAATCTAATTGTTAAATAGTGTAAATTTACTAGTCGGTCAAAAATTTATCTAAATCTCTTCAAAACCACGCCAAATTGTGCATTGAAAATCTGTGCCACGAAATGCCATCGCAAGGAATGTGATTGAGTCATATTCGTCTTTAACCAATCAAATTAGCGATTAAAACGGATTTTACCAGAGTTTCACTCAAGTGAGAGAAGAGATCACCCTGCAGCAAATTCTTACCAGCATTCTGAGAAAAAATGATGGCCATCAGAGACACGGCACAAATGAAAAGCTCACTGAGAAAATCCAACCGAACGCCGAGCCATCGAGCACTTGCCACCACCATAATAAATGACTTGCTGTGAATGTCTTGATGTCTAGAAGAAATCAAAATCGTTATTTAAGTCGCTGCTCTCTTCCTCCGCTTCCAAAACTTGGAAATTAAGCTAGGAAACAAAACTGTATAACTGAATGATCAAATCTTTGGAAAGAACATTCCAAGACAAAAGTCTAGGAAAACATTCTTATTTTTTGCCAGGATCGAGATTCATCCCCGTGAAAGAAAATGTGGAAACAAGAAAACAAAAACAAAACAAAACAACAAAGACATGCGAGAATCTTTTGCCTTCAAATTTTGACTTCAAATTTACATAGCGCTGACCAATAACAGCGTTCCAATGACTTTTTAGCCAGATTGAACCCTTGCTACAAATGCCGGAAAAAAGAAAGCGTGCAGTTTGATCAAAATTTAATCAAATTTAATTTTTTTTACGTCAGCTCAGCTAGCTGTAGTACACAGATTACAATAAAGATAGATCATCACATTAAAAACTAAGTATAAAAATAACAATGACTTTATAGTGAGTTAGGATTATCGAAATAGTAAGCCAATCTAGTGGATGATCATAATAGAATACTATTATACAGTTACCCCGCGGAAGTACTCCCCAAAGTATTTGGTGGGGGTGTGCGGCCCAAACTTTGAAACCTGTACCCTATTTCAGACCAAAAGTCTGTGAGTTTTCCATATCCTACTTCAGACCTAAGCGAAAAACAAATACCCCATTTCAGACCTCTAAAATTAGTACACTGCTCTTATATCAGTGACCACAGCTAACCAAAAATGGTTTCCATTTGCGTAAACATTTGAGAAGGGTTACAAATGTGCCAATGCTGATGTGGAGAAAAAGTTCCTTGAAAACAGAAGACCCAACGCCAAGCTAGAGTGAAAAACATACCCAACATACCATATTTCACACCAAAGTGATCAAAATCGATACCCTTTTCAGACCAAAACCGCTTAAAAACCATACCCTTTGGAGCTGCATACATCCTTACCCTTTGGAGCCTATATAGCACCCTTTGGAGCCGATGTAAAGGAGTTCCCCGGCCGGAACAGTTACACAGAGTTTTGCTGTTTACAAAAACTGTATTTTGTTTTGGCCAACATTTTGTTGCAGGAAAGCCTTAAAAAAATGAAACAAAGCTAGCAGTTACTGAAGACTTGCAAGTGATGAAAACAGCGTTAGTTTAAACATCTCTTTTATCAGGAACACATTAGTAATGCTGAAATATACATGCACAGATACCATCACTGAATAGTGACACCACATTCAAGATACTCTTTTACCTGTAAAGTTGACTGATAAAATCGTTCTGTCTTCCTCTTGTTCGAATGGTATCCAATCCATTCAGGGTTTCGGAAATGTGAGAGAAGACGGGACTCCGGCATATGGACTGTAACCTCTTCAGCTCGCGAGAGCTCTTTAAGTATTGTCTTACGATGTAAACGCCCAACAGAGTCAATGGTACAATAATTAATATCACCCAGAAATTCGCTACGGCGGGAACAAGAACTGCTGCCGACACAAACAGAACATGTTGCAGTGAAGTTAGAAACACCTTCGGTAACAGTTCATCCATGCAGCCCACGTCTTTGGAGAAACGATTCAAAATTCTTCCAACAGGATTTGTGTCGAAGAACAGAAGTGGTGCTTGGACTATTGCCACAACCATTTTGTCGTGGAGACGTTCTGAACATCTTAAAGAGGCCAGGAGAAAGGCATAAGCTTTGATGAAAGTGAGTAAGAAAGCCGCGCCTACAAGAGAGCCATAGACGCCAAGGTCCGTGGAGTGATCTTGATCTGCCTGTTGTTTCTTGGTTACATATGCGAGCCACACAGCAGGAGAGACCACGATTGCTATAATCAGACGGGATATACAATCAACATAACGCCTCGTGTTTTCATCAGTCTGTCAGTCAGTCAGTCCCGTCGGTCACTACACACGGTAAGTGTCAAACGAGCCACAATCTTTTGAACTCACTGACTGACTGACTGACTTCCTGCCTGGCTGCATGTTTGCCTTACTGCTTGGTCGCTGCCTGACTGCCCAATCGTTCCCTGACTGCCTGACTGCCTAACTGCTTGCCCGACTGCCCGACCGCTCTACTACCTGACTGTCTGACAGCCTACCAGACTGCCGGACTGCCGGACTGCCTGACTACCTGACTGACTGACTGCCCGACTGCCCGACTGCCCGACTGCCCGACTGCCCGACTGCCCGACTGCCCGACTGCCCGACTGCCCGACTGCCCGACTGCCCGACTGCCCGACTGCCCGCTTGACTGCCTGACTGCCTGACTGCCTGACTGCCTGACTGCCTGACTGCCTGACTGCCTGACTGCCTGACTGCCTGACTGCCTGACCGCCCGACTACCTGACAGCCTGACTACCTGACTGACTGCCTGACAGTCCGACTGCCTGATGCCTGTCCGACTGCCTGACTGAATAACAGTCCGACTGCCTGACTGCCTGACTACCTGACTGAGTGACTGTCTGACTGCCCGACTGCCTAACAGACTGATTCACAGACTGATTGACTGACTAACTACCTAACTATCTGACTGACTGACTGCTTGCCAGACTGCCTGACCGAGTGCCCTGTCCTGCAAAGGGCAAGGGCAGGCGGGATTCAGGACCATACAGGAGGTGAAGGGGAATATTAACATTCCTATTCACCTTTCCTTTCCGCGGTGGCTCCCACCCGTGCTCTCTGTCTATTAAAAACTATAACAAATGTTGATTTGTTTTCTTAATTCTCCTACCCGCCCTCTGTTGTCCAGCCTCCCGTGGAACTCTCAACCCTTACGCCCCTGTCCCCACCCCATCATTTTCGTTGTGCAGACGATGGCTTACCTTGCGTAATGAAGCAAAAACAAATTCCTGCGCAGATCACCAACAAAGATACCCCGCTTCTGAAGTAGTCCCAGTATAGTTTAGCTGACACCACTCCAGTTGTGCGGTCCTCTCGAGGTATTGTGAGACCCCTGGCTCGGTTGTCGAATGCCACTTCTGTATCAACACTTACTGGTGATTGTTCATCTTGACAGTCTGCTACCAAGCTTTCTTCTAGTTTACATTCTGTTGTTGGAATTTTCTTCAGAAGGGGGTCAATAGTTTCGTTTAAAATACCTTTCTGTTGTAGGTCGGTAAAAATTCCCTTTTCAAGGACACGGCCTTTGTATAACACGATCACTTCATCAGCTTTTCTCATGTGTTCCTCTTGGTGTGAAGTTAACACTCGGGTTTTATCACTTAATACACCATTGATGCAACTCTCAAAAATTTGTCGGCCAACTTTGAAGTCCACAGCACTCAGAGGGTCGTCCAACAAGTAAACATCTGCATCGGCGTACACTGCGCGTGCTAAACTTACTCTTGCCCGCTGGCCTCCACTTAGAACTGCACCGCATTCACCAACAACCGTCTGGTCATACTCAGGGAATTGTTGGATGTCTTCCACGAGAGAGCAGGCTTCGAGGATTCGATTATACCAGTCTTTATCATATGGTTGACCAAACAAAATGTTTTCTCTTATTGTTCCAGAGAACACCCAGGCTATCTGAGGTACATAGACAAGAGTCCCTTGGTAGGTGACTGTTCCACTGATGTCTAAGACCTCACCAGCGATCGCGGAGAGTAGAGTCGATTTTCCACTGCCCACTGGTCCAGTAATAATTGCCAAACTTCTTGGTCTTGCAAACAGTTCTATGTCTTGCAGAATGTAATCATCTCTGTTAATCTGTTTGCATGAAAGATTTGCCACTTTTAGAATCGGCGTTGGTGTCGTGAAAATAGAATCCTTTTCAAAAGCGTCCTCGTTAGAATCTTTCCATTCTTCTCCTTGCGTATTTACATCTTCACTGACCTCTCCTCGTGATTCTGCCACCTTCTCACCAACACCCTTTGTACTAAGTTCACCTAAATCTAAAGTCAGATCGTCCAAGAGAAGGAAATTCTCTATCCGGTTGAGCGAAGTATAAGCTTCGGCTATTTGCAACAATCCACCAGATACGAAGTAACAAATGCAGAGTTGGAGAGCATTGTTGAAAGACAGTAGCATAAAAACATTAACAGGTGTAACAGACTGTCCAGTTAGTACAAGAGTGATGACAGACACTAGAGTCGCCATAGCTCCGGAAGTAAACTCCAAAGCAGGTAGAGCTGCTAGGAGCATGCTTTTTGTGCGTAGAACACTGATCTCTTCTCTGAAACAGCAAAATTAATGTCTAAACTTTAGCTTCATTCTCATCATGATCACACTTTTTTTTAGCAGCAATTCAATTTTAGCGGCTTCTTGATCGCACTTTAATTTACTTACTTACGAAATCTAAAAAGCTGAGAAATCTTAGGCAAAAATCACCAAAATCTTTAAAAGTGAATCAAACTGCTAAGTTAAGAAGTGGATAAAATAAATAAAGAAGTTTTAAGAAGTACAAAACAAGCTAAAAAAGTACCGTTAAGGTACACAAGAAACAAAAAAGGAATCATTCAACAAAATCAGAAAATGAAAACATTAGGCGCTAACAAGGAAAAAATTCATTATTTTTTGTTGGCTGAGGTTTGAAAACGTGAGATTGTTTTCCAGCTGAGAACCTAGGAATTGTCCTTACGGTGAATATTGAAGTCGCTTACTCGTCGGGTATTCTTGCATTGACTGTGGTTAACTTAGAGCGGTATTCATTTCAGTGTCGAAAAGTAAGTTTTGCATCAACTTCACTGCACCATTTGTTTAAATAGAGCGGTTTCCAATAGAGTGTCGTAAAACCAGAACCAAAGTAATCAGTCGGACTAATCACAAAGGACACAGACAATACAGTGAACCAATCAAAACTCCAAGTGATTACATGTAGCTGGCGCAAAGTGCGGATTTTGGGTTTACCCCTGATTGGATGAAAAATTGGCGCGAGTTCTTTAAGCCAATCGTGTAGCGTAGTAAGTGCAAAACCAATTATTTTTCGACACTCAAATAAAAACCACTCTACCTCGCGCCACGTTTTCATCCAATCAGAAGCAAAACTAAAACCCGTTGTATCACATCTCACTCGCACTTGTTTTCCCTCGCTTTGCGTCAGCTACGTGTTATTACTTCGTGTTCTTCGAGTTTTGATTGGTTCACGGTATTGTCTGTGTTCTTTGCGAATGGATAGAGTGATTACTTTGGTTTTGGTTTCACTACACCTCATTGAAAACAGTACTAGTCCGTGCGTCTTAAGTTTATTTGTAAACCAGTCAGAGACTATCAACGATTATGGGCAGGATAAATCAATCAATACTTCCATTTACCTCCGTGCTGCTTTTATCTTTCTGCGGTACTCATCCTCCCACGCGTTCGTTTTGATAGCACGGATGCCAGACAGGATCTCGTTCATCAGGGAGATTCGGCGATCGGACACGGTGGCAGTGCGCAGGCGCAATACGCCCGCAGCAAAAGATAGGAGACCAAAGTATGGGACGAGAAAGATCAGAAAAGCCACGCCCATAAGCGTTTGCCAGCCAATCAAGTACCAGAGTAAAGCTGTCACAACTGTCACGTCAATTGTTGATATGACTAGGCGGAAAGGCCACTTGGCTTCTTCCACTCTTTGTACGTCATTGGACACCAGGTCGACGACGCGTCCTGTGGTATACGTCATCAATGTTTGCTTGCTGAGGAGAAGGATCTGGGGCGAAGCAACGTTCAAGTCTTTATCAAATCACATGGAACCCATGTTCTAAAATAGGTTGGCTTAACAGTTGTACTTGAGCTAAATGGTTAACAAAAATTATACCTTTTATTTTTTTAGGGTTGACGGGGGTTGTGGGTGATTTGGCACAGGCACGATTTCTTTTAACCCTTTCATGTACTAGGAATTTTTTTTTTCTCGGGACGCCTGTATGCATGTAATTTTTTCTCCGTATGACATGCTAGCTTTAGGCTCACTGAACGTGCCTGAATTTTTTTCTTTGGCAGTGGCCAGGTGCATGAATTTTTTGGTACAATTATGCCTCCAGGATATATTTTTAGAATATCCTGCAGGCATAATTTTACCATCCCTTACTGACGTTCAGACAGACGATATGTCTCAGCATCTCTATTATGGAAAAGGGAATTGTTTCCTGAGACAGCAATATACCCCTTGCACTAAGAGTGCCAACGTTCAAAATTGAAAGATTGAGGAAGAATTATGGAATAACAAACAGAACCTTATGTTCTGTTCTTGGACAGCTTCTGTTTGAATGGTCACATAGTCTAGGGTTTCATTCAGACTAAAAAACAATTAACCACCTAGTACAGAATAATAGCTAGAAACCTTAAATCCGACGACGAACGTGGGGGGAGTGCCGCAAAGGTCGCTGTCGTAAGGTGCGAAAAGTACACACTGGAGATGCAGTGTCCATATGGAAAGGTCGTTCAACCTCAGATCGCAACCCAATCTCGTTCCTAAGACCCTGGGAACGAGGTTGATCGCAACCATGGTATGTGCGCTAGCGGGGATCACAGTGTGATTATACTGCTTCTCTCCACTACCCTGCCAGTAAATACAGCCGATTATCGCTCGGGCGGGGGACTCCCATATAAAAAGGAGGGGGATGCTCGTCGGTAATTTTGAAAAGAACCCCTAATAAGAGGTACCAATTCTAAAACAAAACTATTATCTCCCGTCATGGTTTTTCGGCTCAATATCCTAAAAAGTACCGCCAAAGCGCCCCCTGTGGTCCTTTTGAGGCTGAACGTGAACACCCTAAGATGTACTAAAACCATTTTTTAACCCCCAGGGGCGGGGGAGAACACTTTCAGGAGTCTTCTGCCCCGCCCCTGTAACCCCCAAAAGGTACGCCAGGAATCCCCGTCATTTTCATATGTGAATACCCTCGGTATCGCTTCCGGTCAGCGTCGCTTTCGCCACAAAAAGTGCTTTCTCTTGCAAACGCCTAACCAATCAAGAGGGATTAGAGGCGGTTAGTATTCACAGATTACTCCTTCACCCAGGATCACAAATGGAACTGTTAGGGGCCTGG